TTAATGCAGACAGACTTCATTGCATGTATTTCTATTACTTTGGCTACTTCTATTTCTATTTTTATTGCTCAGATCTGTGCAAATAAAAGAATATCAAAAGGTATGGCTATAAATGTGCTCTGCTAAATTTCCTCTGCCTTGAAATGCTTGTGAACTTGCTGCTACATAATGCCAACTTCGTTTTAATGCCTTTCTCAAAAGGCAACAATATATGGTAGAAATTTCACTGACTTTGGAGTCACACAACTTCTGGTCTATCATTCACCAAGTGTGTATTTCTCAGCACCCAGCATACTAGTCTATCAAGTGTCAATATCTTTGTCATCTCTACAAATTTAACTGAGGGTTAAATGAGGTGAACTATGCAAACATAAATATCATAAAACTTAATAGATACCAGTTTCTTTTCACCAGCCTAGAACAGCACTGGAATGGTAGCATATACCAGTGAGAACTCTCTTGAAAATGCACTTCCATTGAGGTAATTATGAGTCAGAAAAATAAGGACAGATTCCAGAGGAGCAGATAAAGCTTTTCTGTGATATTTATTGCCTGTGGGAATATATTACTATTGGCAAGTATGAAAAAACAGCATAGTTTCTGAACTCCATCACAACCTTAAGCTTTGTTCAGCTCCTAAATGTTTTATGAAGACTCTGTGTAACTATACATCTACCATTAAAGGCATATGTAGTGTAAATGACTAGAAATAACTACCATATAAATCCATTTTGTTACATTGCTTGAATCAATGTAACAAGATTTCAGCCCATCCAAAGTGTAGCAATGATGGCAGAGCAATATGGATATTTTACATCTGGGTGTGGTGCAGAAACATTGCATGACTAAGGCATAAAGATGTATCTATTGTAAGCTTTCTTACTTCAATAATTAAAAAGCAGAAAAAGAACATAGGCGTGGCATTAAACATCTGCATATGGATACAGCTGTGATAGAAATGTGTGTGTGTGAATGGCCAACCTTTACTTTATCCAGTGAACAAGTAATAGAGAAAGCCCAATTTTTTTCTAATTAGCAAAACAGAGATTGGGTTATTGAAATTTTGACTGCTTTTATATGGTTACAAGTGTTTGAGTTACATCATAATATGATGTCATTTGTAAAGCTATCAGGCAAAATATTCTTTAACATCTCTACTGCCAAATTCCATAAAGTCAGGAAATCGGAATTGATAACATGCAAATACTAAAATGGCAATCAATAGAGTAAAATAGAAGTTTTCATAAAGTAAATTCTCAAGGCTAGCTCTAATTGTCATTTTGTTCCAAAATGTTTTTAGAAAATCCCAGTATCTGAGATATAAATAAGATGAAGAAAAAGATTGAATGATGCTAAGTGAAAAGGGTAGTTTGAATTCAGAGAGACCTTGTTCATCATCTGTTATTCACAAGAGCCTTAGGATTCTTCATCTCTATAAAGCAATAAAACTTATCTTTGAATATTCTTTTGAAATACTTACAGCAGAATTGTAAATGAAATCATCTCAAGTGTCAGCTCCGATAGACTGGTCGTGACTTTCTGGGGTTTTGGTTTAAGAAAGACTCTAAGAGCATCACTGGGAAAGAATGCTATTATTGATTAGTGATGTCTGCTCTTGGCAGAAAGTGGAGCAACTAAAAGTATATATGAATATATTTTCTGTATAAGTGTTCCATAAATTATAACTATTATGACTACTGCTGCTATTTTGACAAAAGAGTTTTTATGTGCCTATTCAAATTTCTACATCTTCAAGACAAAATGGAATCAATTAACTGCTTTGGTCACAGTTACTGTGTATGTCATTTTTATTGATTTGATGGTAAACTCATGTGTGTCATCTGTAGAGAAGAAGCGGAAAATACAAAATTTGCTGTTCCCTATTGTATTGTAGAAAACACTGCTTTTCAGAGAACTGATATAGTCACTAAAGGAAGAATAAATGTTGGAGAACAAAAAGAAGAGAGGATGTTGAGATGTAATCCTAAATTATCATACTAGTCTGTCACAGGGTCCCTTAACTTATGTAAAATACTCACACAATGGAAGACATATGACATGTTTACACAAAGGTGGTCTATGACTTTTTGGACTTCTTTCCTTTTTTTCCTCTAAGACCATATTAATTTTCTGAAAAAATACTTATGTTCCTGTCTGCCATAGGAAATTTTCTGAATCCTAAACAACTGATTTTGTATTCCTGCCCCAATCCCTTTATTTGGGAATTGAAATCTGATCAAACTCATATTTTTTAAATTGTGCTTTTATAGGCAGATGGAAGAATAGTTTACGGTCTGAGTGTGATTTTTTTTCCTACCACATATATAGGAAAATTGTGGAGATTTTTAAAACAGTGCCTTATCAGTTTTTTTCTCCTTTATTACTGATGACTTCATTCTGCTTATATTCAGTGCTTGGGTTTCTTTGGGTAAACTAATAGATTATGTATGCGATGTTTGCACCATGTTGATTGAACTCATCTGGTGAGTTGAGCGTAGCTTAGGCATTCTTGTAATTGGCAGAAACGCCTGCATTGGATACAGAAACCATAGTCGGTCAGTGCCTTGGATGAGAGAGACACACAGAGAGAGAGAGAGAGAGAGAGAAAGAGAGAGAGAGAAGAGAGAGAGAGAGAGAAGCTGTTGAAAATAGAAGAGTTGCTGCCTTTTCAGTCTTGCTATAGGTCAAGAAAACTCCTTAGGCCTTCCATGTTTCTCTTATCAAGTTTTCCAAGTTTCAAGGAAAAAAAATTTAAAGAAAACATTATAAAATAGTGCTCTTTTGAGAGTTTTTAAATATGTGTTGATGAAAAATAAAGGTCCTCAATCCATAAGAATTTGTCTTTTCTTAATCAGGTCCTGAGTTTGTGAAGTACTCAAGGAATCCAAAACCCTTAGTAAGAGCTTATGAGCCACCAATATAGGCTTCTGCTTTTAATGAATTTACAATAAAGTTTGGAAAGAATGTCGTTCCTTTGAGAAATACCTACCCAGTGTTTTCTTTTTCATAGTTTACTAATAGTTTGTTGATATAATTTTTAAATTTTCAATAAAACAGTATGGCTGGAGCCATAGCACAACTGGTAAGGTGTTTGCCTTGCATGCAGCTGACCCGGACAACCCGAATTCCATTCTTCTGCCCCTCTTGGAGAGCCCCACAAGCTACCAAGAGTATCTCACCTGTATGGCAAAGCCTGGCAAGCTACCTGTGACGTATTCGATATGCCAAACACAGTAACAACAAAGTCTCACAGATATCTCATTTAAACTTGAAACTCTGCTATTGTCTGAATACTAAGGTATATAAAATTTAAAATTTTCTTCACAATATGGTCTCTTTCTCAGTCCTATTAATCCCCTCTCCCCCTTTTTTATTTGCATTTTGGGTCACACCCATTAATGCACGGGGGTTGCTCTTGGCTCTGCATTCAGGAATTACTCCTAGTGGTACTCAGGGGACTATATGGGATGCTGGGAATCGAACCCAGGTTGGCCATGTGCAAGGCAAACACCTACCTGCTGTACTATCGCTCCAGCCCCCAATCCCTTTTTTCCTGCTCCCTGGCATATACCCTATATACTAGAACAGGTTTTTGTAAAGATCTGTTAAATGTGAGTGTTTTTGAGATTTATAAATTCTTGTGCACTGATAAAACAGCAGAATTTACAGGCGTTCCTATTTTGTCATTGAGTTGACTCAAAGTAGCCATGAAGTCACCAGACTCACTTTTATTATAATTTACTTCCAATGGAGGGGTAGAAAGGAGCACTGTTACCTGATGTATGTGAAATATAGGGTCAAGCTACATTGAAAAGCACATTTTTTTCCCCAAGTTTACTCGGTTGAATTTCCCCAAAGCAAAGTGCATTCTCACTTCTGTCCTTTGTGTCTTCCCTTCATCTACTTGAAATGTCTTCATGTCACTTGTTCAGCTGTTGACCTCTCCTATGCATCCAACAAGGCTTAGTGTCTTCTCCTCTGTGAAGCCTCTTGTGAATTTCCATAATCCTGTGCTTACGCTATCAAAGTCTAAGCGGTTTGTGTTCCTACAACCCATGTGCAACCTCTGTCACAATCAATTGTTGTTTTCTGCACACTTATCAGCCCCTACCTCCCAGACTGAGTGTTCTTTTCCATAAATGACTGTTTATTTTACTTGCTCATATCTTAACACAAGGTATAACATGAGTGGGTACTCCTTACACTCCAAATGGATCACTGACATTGAGCTGTAGAAATCTGCCTGCTATTCTCAAGTTTCACTGTATCACAGTATGTTGGTCCTGTTAAAATGATCATAACAAATTCAAACTTCCAGGGAACCACTGACTGATCAGTTCAGGGGCTGGTGGATGTGTCACTAGAGAAGCGGAGAGGAAGGGGAAACTGGTGAACAGAGAACCTTTAACACAAACCAAGATGGCGTGTTTTACTATTATAAATTTTGAATTTTTTACCTCTTGGCATGGCTTTCACTTTCATCTTTTCCCGCTGTGCCCTTGTTATACACATATATTGATATATGGGACTCACCCTCTAGCCCCAAAATTGTTTTGAGTGTCACTGAAATGAATGCTGACAAATACCTAGGCTGCATCACATCCAATCTTCAGTCCCAACAACTGTTCTCAAAGCATTATCAATACTTGAAAGTAAAGTACCCACACTTTTGAAAATGTTAAACTGTAGATATGATTATTCATGGGGATAAGGAAGATGCTCTTTTAATTGTTTTTAAACGTTCAGACCTGACTTGATCTTCTCATTAAAAATGTCATTTATTAAGCCTATCAGACATTGGGCCCTTTGAGCTAAAGATCTATTAAAGGCTGAAAGGCTGGTTTGTTCCTTTACATCACTGATTTCTCAGCATTGCAGAATATCTGAATTACACAATTGAATAATCCCAATTTGGACATCAGTCCCATTTTCAGAAAGGTCAGAAAGTGTTTTTCCAGGATGATTCACACTGTGTGAACATACCTGTTTATGTTCTGTAGTGGCCGAGTCACTGGCGGAAGTGCGGACCGAATCCAGAAGCTGCGGAAGGAGTACTATCAGGCTCGGAGGGAAGGTTTCACTTTATATGAAGATGATGAAGGAAGAGCAAGGCCGTCGGATTATGACCTTCACTGGGTAAGCCCATACATGATTTCAAACATTGAATTCCTCCTTTATGAGAGAGTTTAGAACAGAAGAATACAGTCAAGAATGTTCTAGTCATATGAAGATAATTTTGGGTTCTTGGGTTTTGAGATATGAACATTATCCAATCCGCAGCCATCTTCTCTCATAGAAGTTGTTTATATAAATCAAACTACACAATGAATAGTAGTTTATTTTAACTGTTCTCATATTTACACCCTTTGGGGTTTGTATACTAACTTGATGGGGTGGAGCAGATATTAACTGCTCTTACAAAGAGAAGAAATCCTTGTGATCATCTTAGTATTGCCCTGCCTCTCTGCGTCTAGACATCTGGGCAAGCATTGACATCATACAACATAAAATAAATTCTTTCTTATTTTATTGGAACCTCCAAATCAGTAATCAGGGAGCCTGGGATCCATTCCCAGAGATACTGGGCCAACTTTGTCAGCAATGTGGTACCTCTTGTGGGCCCAGAAGAATTACACCTGCCATCAGACTTACGGTCTTACACATGCAAGCATGAACATCTGACCTGAGCTATCAATCTGACTCAAACCCTCTCTCTTTTGGAAAATTGTTGTTAGAAGAAACTTCAGAAGGGTATCTTCAAATATATCAGTTGTGTCTGTGTTGCATCTGAACAATTTGTACTCTGCTGACTTTACTGCTAAGATCCTCTGAAGTATATTAAGATCATTATGAGATAAGGAAAGTTTTTGTAATAGATGTTGTACTTTACCAAATCCTCCCAATATTTGAAAGTAAATACATACATATATGTGTGTATATATATGTACATATATAGTAGTCTCTAAGGAGATATTATCTAGAGTATTTTTGGACAAAATAATTTATTCTCTTGTCTTTTCCCAAGAAAACAAACTATCTACAAAATGCATTTAACTCTTCAGCATCCACAAAAATGCCCCTGAATGTATGGCACTCACAGATAGATAGATTAAAAACACACATCGCAAAGGCCTGGGAGATCACTCAAAAAATTGGAATATCTGGTATACACTGAGCTCCATATTCAGTCCCTAGCAGCATTTGGTCTCCCAACTACTGCCAGGCAAAACCCTGATGGTCTCTGGCATTACTAGAGAGGGCCACTCCTGCAAAAACAAAACAATAAACAACTTTAAAAATACACATCCTTTACTAAAAACAGTGTCTGAGCACTGAGTTGGTGTTCACTGAACTTCAGCTCTTGTCACTAGAGTTACTGGGAGGTAGGGGCATACATGGTAATAATGTCTGTGTTGTGCATCACTTCTTACCCTCCTGGATTTGACACAGTTTATAGTGATGTTTTGAGAAACACAGAAGGAACATCCAGCAGTCACTAAATACACTAGCTTTATCTCTATATTTTATTTAATCTTTTACTTTTAGATATTTCAAATTTAATTTTAAATGTGTTCCTTCTCAAGTATGCACACCAAAAACATATCTATTGTCATATTGCAATGTTTCTTAAATTAAATAAAGAGTGTCAGATTTGCTCAAGTAGAAGAGTCTATGCAATTAATATGTGTGAGGCCCTGCATTCCAACCCTGGCACCATATAGACCCCTTAAAGTGTGATTCCCAAGTATAGCAACAACTAAATAAACAAATAAAAAAAGAATCAAATGGCATCTTTGTGTAAGAACCAATTAATTAAATGAAAGATTGCTTTGCTGATTTGCAAACTCAGATTTACATGTAGGAAGTTGGGGGTATGGGGTGTAGAGCCCAGCAACTGGCTGATTCCCTCCAGTTTTCACTTGGGTGCCTTGGCCTCTACTGTGTGACACCCAGCACTTTGACACTGAAGTCCCAAAGTCAGTTTCAGTGGCCTCCACTTTGGCACAAAGCAGTTGCAACTCACTGACCTTGCACATTCATTCTTGTGTACTGGAGCCAAATGCCCAAATAAGAAATTCACAACATGGCTGGAGTGATCGCACAGCAGGTAGGGCATTTGCCTTGCACACAGTCAACCCGGGTTTGATTCCCAGCATCCTATATGGTCCCCCAAGCACCTTGAGGAGTAATTCCTGAGTGCAGAGCCAAGAGCAACCCCTGTGCATCGCTGGGTGTGACCCAAAAAGAAAAAGTTCACAACAAGGACTGATCACCTCCAACCAAATGACTTTGGCTTTTTGCAGAGTTGGCCTTCTGTGCCCGCAGAAGCATAGGCTTGACTGTTTATTGTTCACATTACAAACAAGGATTCATCAGAATGGTATTTACAATCATGGAACCATTGGTCACTTAGACTCTCAGTCACAGAAGGGAAAGATTTGTACAGAATAACAATTTAGACTAAGATTCCCTTTACTTCCAATTTCAGGATCTATTTACTGGATTTGATGAGGGCCTCAAGACATAAGACTCTGCTCTTACACTCAGACAAGCAATAAACTCGAAGAAAGTTGCTTCTACTGTCATCAAACCAGAACAGCATGTCCCACACGCTATAAAGTGCTCCATCTCAAAACCATTATGAAACTTATGAGCACAGATAATTTTATATTAAGCAAAACTAGCTGTTTGGACCTTATTTTCATACAATTCTCTTACATCAGACTAATAGGATAAAAATGCTTAGCCTTCATATTATGTTGGAATTGTGTGCATTAGAAAATATTATTAACAGTATTGTAAACTACAGAATCTCAATCACTAAAAAAAATCTTCAAAAAACAAGAAAATGCTTAACCTTCATGACATGGAGTTTCCTCTGACTTTCCTTAAACCTGAGCTAGATAACAATATATTTGGGTTCTTCTTATCTTAATGATTCTGTTTTTATGCGAACAAATGTATATAACTCCACAAACAACCTCATTAAGAGAGAAGTGTCTCTATTTTAATTTGTGTTTCCCATGCTTCGTTGTCATGGACTTTGCCAAAAGTGATTGCTTGTACATTTCCCAGACAGTTGGGGGATAAGGCTTCCCAAAGGGACGCTTGGGAAAGGCTCAGTCATAAAAGATGAGTGCTCTTTGTGATCTCCTGAGATACTCAAATAGGGGATTAGAATCTCAGCGTTTTTGCCCCTGGTCTCCAAACTGAGGAAAAACACTGGTATCTTTTGTCCAGAGAAATTACCCTGTTGCCTTGCTACTTTCAGAGAGAGCTAGGAAAGCAGGCTTAGAAAGTTAACCTTTCATTGCTGTCAGTCAGCCAGGCCCAACAAGGCATCTTTTATGAGACTGTGGTCCCTAGGTCAGATTGCTCCTCCATATCGCTAAGGATGCTGGTTAAAATCTGACTGACAGTCTGTGAAATGGGGGAGGAGGGCCCCAGAGGAGGCTTCCAGGTGCTTCTCCAGGAGGTCATCAAGATTTCTGACCCACGGTTCTAAAATAGGGCATTGATTCCAATGGCTTCAATAAACACTAGAGTCGTTCAACTTCTATCCAAATCATGATACAGGATAGCACCATTGAAACCTACTTTCAGGACTCAGACACCCCCACCCACCACCACCCCACAAACTCAGCACTTCAGCTTGAGAGACCTGAGATTCCCTAGAGATGCATGCCACTAAAGAACTTTTGAACTATTGAGATGAAAATTACGATAGTAAGTTACCTAAAAATCTGTGTCTAAACTAGGCCAGAAAGAATATAGGTGTTTTCACAAAAACTCTTAAAACGAAAACAAATTATTTGGATGTTTATTGAGCTCTCTAAATATATTTTTAAATATTTTTGTCATTAGGTGCAATATTCTTGCTATGCCTTACCTCAAAGTTTCTGAAACCCCCAGGCCACCTACATGGTATTTTATCAGTATTTAACATCTACACTCTGGCTTGTAGTTATAGATTTTCTCCCTCTTTCTCTTAGATTCTCACTTTCTCTTTGCTCTCTCTTCTATTCTTCTTTTCTCTATGCTTCCTTTCCCATGTTAACAAATCTTCACTCTTGCCTAGTGTCAACTAGATGCCATAATAAGAATATAAGATGTATGAAAACAGGATGGGAACACTGTTAGGGTCTCCCAAAGAGGAATCGAAAGAGCTATGCTTGGAGTATCGTGCTTCACTCAAATGAGAGAAGGGATCCAGAGTTCCAACCTCTGTTGACAATTATGAATCAGGGATGCTGTCTCGTTTGCCAAGGTGTCGAAAATCAGATGAGCTGGACACATAATGCGATTTGAAGATGACCGCTGGACTAGAACTGTTACCCACTGGATTCCACATGACGTCAAAAGAATGCAGGGCCACCCACCTACGAGATTATCAAACTTCTTTGTCAAGAGCCTGAACAAATGGCTTGAGACTCTTCATCTTTCTGTAGTGAGCAGATGCCATTGGGCTATACTAGCCCTAGACAAGGATAAATGGAGACATTATTGGTGCCCGCTTGAGCAAATCAATGAGTGACAGGATATCAAGTGATCAAGTGATCAAGTGAATACAGTATTATGTCTACCTCAGAGGAATTCAGAGTCCATCCAAGAGTCCAAGCATCTAGGTCAAAGTCAAAGGAGACAATATTATAGGAGAGAAGTGCTGAGCTTGAGGAATGGCTCCAAGATAAAGTACAGGACTCATATGTATGGGCCTCTGGGGTTTCAAGAAATGACAAAAAGGAGCACCAAAAAAGCTGCATTATATAGAAGTCTTCACTTTCTAAATTAGCTCAGAGAGTGCAGTGACTTCTTTTGGAGTCTGCGGTGCACTTCTGAGTGCTATGAAAACTAGAGAGTTCATTTGGTAGTTGCCTCCATGAACACACTTTGTTCTTTTTCTCTCAAATTTTGGTGTGTATGTCTGTGTACGTGTCTGTGTGTGTGCATTTTCCTTTTTCCCAAAGGATCTCCTGATTTATTCACTTCCTTTGTGTTAAAATAAATGAATACACACAGATTGCAAGGTTTGTAAATATGGACATGAGACCTTAAAAATCTTTTCAGCCAGTCTGTTTTGTAGCTGTTTTCCCATTCCTGCTCTGAAAAACTGTAAAGAACAAGTTGAGAGAATT